AGGGATGTGGGTGCTCGTCCTTTTGAACTTGTTGGTTCTGATTCCCTTGGTATTATAAGCCCAGATTACTGCGAGTGGCCTAAATCGCTGTCGCGGGACACCAAAAATCCTTCTAGTCTCAATTAGCATCGTCACGCGGATATGCCCTCATCCACTGAACTGCTTGGCACGCCATGCAATTCCAGTGTTTTGGACCAATGGATCGAGGATATTGTCATACTGTGATTACTCGAAGCAAGAGAAACCTGGAGTTTTTATGTACTTCTTATATGTTCTTTTGCTTCTTGTAGGTCTCGGTCGAGGTCAAGGTCTCCATTTCCAGCTTACTAAAGTTAGAACTCGAATGGCAAGCGAGCTCAGGTTGTATTGAGTAGTCATCATTCAGCGCGACCATTGATCGATGTTTTTTTGTTGGGACTTAGATAGTTGTTGCTTGCTCCCCAAGCTTCCCCCTTAGATATTGATAGCAGTATCCTAGATGTCTGACGAAGTTGATAATAGATGTCTAAAATGAGACTAGATATGGAGGTGTGATAGATACAAACTTCTACCGGGTTTGATATTTGGGGATTAGGGTTTAGACGAACTGAATTGGGGATTGAGAATTAGGATTTGGGAAAGAAGAAAACAGAATCAGCCTAGGCCTTAGAAGGATTGAGAATGAGAATTGAGAGGATAGGGAGATTAAGGTTTGGTGGACTTTTCTTAATATTCTTCTTGACTGGTTATGAATGAAGGACCTATTACATATTTATAGCGAAAGATTAGAAAAACCTAATAGACTATCCTAATATGACTCAGTGACTACTAACCATATCTAATAAAATCTTAATAATAGCCCTAATAAGGGCTAATACCACTGGAAATACCATCCTTTAGCGAAAGTGTCATTTATATTACGTATTTTCAATAAACACAAAAATATTCCAACGTATTAGGGGTTTGTGTCATCTGTGTTACGCGAAATTCTGTTGACCGTTAGATCTAACTGTTGACCTAACGGTGGTCAACCTTTATCTGACCATTGATGAAGTGGCGCCTGTGGGTTGTCCACGTAGACGACACATAGATGCCATGTTGGAAATTAATAAAAAATAAAATATTTAACATTTAAATTAAATATTTAATAATTAATAATTGAATAGAAAATTAACTTTTCTTTGACACACCCACCCTTTCCTTGACCACACCCACCTAGGGGAGAGCCCGCTGCCGCCGCCGGCGAGGAAGAAGAAGCGAGCTTTATTATGTTGGGGAAGAAGATGCCGTCGGGTGCCAAGGAAGGTTAATTCAACCCTCCCAAACCCAGCTTTCTCCAAAATCCAGCTTTCTTCTGCTTCAATATCTCATACCCAGCTTTCTCCGGCGGGTCGAGCTTCTCCTTTGGCGATGGTGGATCGATGGCAACGACTAGGATAGCGAGATGGCTCAATCGGGTAGGGGAGTGGCCTGAGACGTCGTCGGCGTCAATCACATCTCTCTGCCTCTGCCTCTCTCGATTGGCAGTCGTCGATCGACCTTATCTCTCTCACTCAATCCCATAAACAAAACAGAAAAAATCATTGCCCAATCTCAATTCATATCCCACGATAGCTTTTGAAACAGAAGCTTCCTCGTCCGAAATCAAGGAATTAGGAGGGTCACCTCCAATTGAAACAGATAGGAGCTTCCTCTGTCTCCGGCTCCTTGTCTCCTCTTCAACGCCCCGGGAAACAGAGTAGCATCGATGACGCTTATCACCGCCACAGATTCCCTTTTGTGGTGTTCTGGATCTGCGCTTGAGGGAAGGCGAGAATCAAGGTGAAGGGAGTGGAGGACGGAGAGACGGTGGGAGCCGCTGTGAGGATTAGACTATTAGAATGACCCACCCTTTCTTTTTTCCGCTGCTGTAAGAAGGACGCCTCTCCCTGCCTCTGAATTTCTTCCTCTTCAATCTCCCAAAACCAGCCTTCTCGGTGAGTCGAGCTTCTCATTCGGCGATGGTGGATCGATGACAATAGCGTGGCTGGTGGGATGGCTCAATTGGGTGGCTTGAGAACGAGGAAGAGGAAGAGGAAGAAGAAATAGCCTGCGATTCCGATTAACTACCACCGGCGGATTAAAGATTGGGAAGAAGGTGGCTAGGTCAGGATTTGGGAGAACTGAAATGGAAAGGATTTAGGGTTCGTGTCGGATTTGGAGGACAAGGGGAGGAGGTGTCTATTCTCGACAGTGGGAGGATTAATCGATTTAGGGTTGTCCTAACACAAATCTCATAAACAAAAAAAAAAAATCATTCCCCCAATCTGCAGCCGAAAACAGAGCCTGGAAGAAGAGGTTGGCGAAGGGGAGAGATCCAGAGAGATAGGAAGATGAAGAAGACATTTTCCTTCTTTGCTTTTGATTTTGTTTTTTATTTTTTTTATTTTTTTGGGTTGTTTTTTACATTTATTTTTTATTACAATTTTCCACATCAGCTGCCACGTCATTGCTGACTGTATTTTTTGTTAACAACTAACGGAAAACTTAACGGCTGGTATACAATTGTCATATCGAAAACTACATAATATAAATGGCACTTTCGCTAAAGGTTGGTATTTCCAGTGGTATTAGCCCTAATAATAATTATGATAGAACTCGTAAATTGGGTTTCTATCATCCGCTCCCCCTTGAGACCAACCTTGCCCTCAAGGTTGAAAGACTCGATCCACTTTCCCACGTTGCCTGTGCAACCTGCATCTTGGTTCCTCCGTGTCTTGCGTTTCCTTTTCTTCCAATCATGCTCCAACTCGGTTTGGGCTTCTTGCATTGACCTCTCGTGCCGATCCAACTCTTCGAATTTTACTTCTATGGGCCCACTATTCGCTTCCTTGAAAAATTCAAACCTCAATAGTTCCTCTCTCATTGATATGATTCCATAAAGAACCTCGAACTCCATGTTAGCGTCCCACACCGATGCGTACCCAACTAGCAGCTCAACAGAGGCCCAACCCTTCTTTGGAATAGCCCATCATCTATCTGAAACCCTTTTAATCCCTTCCCGCTCGGCCCGGGACAACGATGAGCCTCAGTACACATCCTTCCAAGCCTCAGTGCATTATGCAGATCCAAGTGGCCCACGTTCGTTGACTGTTCCATAATGAAGGCCCAAATGGATCGGCCCAACCAAGGTAGCCCGTGCGGCCTTGTTCCTTCAACCCTAGGCAGCCCAAGGTTTGCAGGAAGATAGTTTCCACTGCCACACTCCTTCTTCGCTTCCTTTTCCGGTGGTGCGCATTACGCTGATGGTACGGCTGCCAACCTGACCCCGCCGGCATCTTCAACTTTGACCCGTCCTCTGGAGGCATATTCTCTTCGAGCGCACCTTCCGCCGGCTGAAACCCAAGGAAACCCGAAGTCATGCCTCTTCGCTTCCTATTTCTTCTCGATCGACAACTTGGCGAAAGCTGTCGTTGATCGCCGCACAGCTCGCGACCTCGGCGACAGAATCCGAGTACCTGTAGTCATCTCGCCTTCGAGTTCCCCGTTGTCACCGGTCACGCGCGTCGCTTCCCTCATCTCGAGCTCCGGTGGCTCCTTCCTTGGCGGCGGTTCCCACATCAGGCGGCTGGTGGAAGATGACCCCAGTGCCGCCAACTTGATCCCCGCCCCTACTTCGCGTCATCGGCTGGCGCTAGGCTCCGCAAACTTTGAGCGGATCTCGTCATGCCTGGTGTCTCGCGTGTCTGCCGTGATGGGTGACATCGAGCTTGCTGTAGATTTGAGGAATCCAGAGGCGACACCATCTGGCTGTCTGGTGATGGCGATTTCAGCCGTGGGTAGTGGCGGTGGTTTGATTGCCGCCAGTACAGTGAGCTTCCCAAGTGGATCTGTTGGTGGCATCTCGTCACGTTCTGGTTCTTGCACAGTGACAGCAAGAGTGGTTGTCTGCGATTTCAGCACAGGCGACGTTGTGGCCTCTATGACGCTGGGAAGTTGAGTCGCAGCAACAACGGTCGGTTGTGGTGCCTCGGTTGCCGCCTCTTCGTCATGGTTGTGGACTGGAGGTGTTGTGATTTTTGGACACTTGAAGGATGAAATAAGTTTTCCCAAACTTAGTGCGATAGTGCTCGATGTCGTGGATTGCTCTAAATCTTATTTGCTTTTTGAATCGGATCCATCTACTACCATCAGCTAACGATCGTTGTCCTGTTATTGCTAGCACATAAGATCCAGCCACCTGCACGTCTACGTGCTCCTCCTCGAACCCAGGCAAGGCGAGGAACAAGACAACGCTACGTCAAAGCTCCATCCTTATGTTGTCAGGTTTGAAGTCTTCATATACTCGTTCGTCCCCGGTTGAGAGTTGTGACGAACTCAGATTTTCGACCATGGCTCTAATACCAAATGATAGATACAAAGTTCTATCGGGTTTGATATTTGGGGATTAGGGTTTAGACGAACTGAATTGGGGATTGAGAATTAGGATTTGGGAAAGAAGAAGAACAGAATCGGCCTAGGCCTTAGAGGGATTGAGAACGAGAATTGAGAGGATAGGGAGATTAGGGTTTGGAGGACTTTTCTTAATATTCTTCTTGATTGACTATGACGTAAACCCAAAGTACATATTTATTTCGAAAGACTAGAAAACCTAATGATAAAACTAATACAACTAAAAGACTACTAACCTAGCTAATAAAGTCAAAATAATTAATATAATGATAAAGATAGAAACTAGAATAAATCGTGTTTCTGTCATCCCCTCCCCCTTGAGACCAACCTTGCCCTCAAGGTTGCAGTCAACCTTCGCTTTCTTACTCTTTCGCTTTCTTCGCTTCCAATTGCGCTCAACCTCACGATTGCATTTCTCTTTGACAACTCTTAGACAGCTTGACTCCTCTCCAACCATGTGACATATGTCACCTTGTCCATAGCCGAGCAATTCTTCCTCTTCATTTTCAAAATCCACAAAATAAGAATCTGAGAATTGTTGATCAAGCCCATCGAAGTCAGACAACTTCTTCCGAGCAGGCAGACTTTCTATGCTTTCAATACCACCCACTCGACGGCGAAGAGGCCAGCCCACCTCCTCCGCGTTCTCCTCTGCAAGTGCTCCAATAGCAGGAGTTTCTTCGACGGTTGCCGGTGCGGATGACTCCATCGCTGCTGCTCCTTCCTCAGCCCACGTCACGGTGGCTGCCTCGTGGCACGGAGGGGTCGACCTTCTCTCTCTCGCCATGGCCAGCTTCTCCTCGAGAGCAGCGTACTAGCATTCCCAAGCTCGGACGCGTTCATCCACCTATCGAATCTGCTCCAACATCTTCGCGAGTTCCATATAGGTGAGCTTTGACGAGCTCATGTGGGCTCTGATACCAATTGATAGATACAAATTCTATCGGGTTTGATATTTGGGGATTAGGGTTTAGACGAACTAAATTGGGGATTGAGAATTAGGATTTGGGAAAGAAGAAGAACAGAATCGGCCTAGGCCTTAGAGGGATTGAGAACGAGAATTGAGAGGATAGGGAGATTAGGGTTTCGAGGACTTTTCTTAATATTCTTCTTGACTGACTATGACGTAAACACAAAGTATATATTTATAACGAAAGACTAGAAAACCTAATATAAACCTAATACAACTAAAAGACTACTAACCATATCTAATAAAATCACAATAATTAATATAATGATAAAGATAGAAACCCGAATAAATCGTGTTTCTATCAAGGTGAGGTTACTTTATTGAGCTTCTATATCGCTAGGTAGTATGTTTTGGAGCCTATATGCCACCGGATGGTCTGGATTTGTGTTTGTGGAGATGGATGGATTGTCGTGATTGGTAGATTGATCAATAAACTGTGATATTGGACCTTTCATGTTTGTGCTATTACAACACGAATAAATATTAGATGGACATAATGAGTATATTTTGAATCAATATCTTGTTAGGTAGGATCTGAAGTTTGGAACGAGTATAGGATGGCAAATTAACCCATTACTATCTAACTGAATTTGAATTGATTTTATTGGAGAAAATCAATATGCTAATACTTTTGGTCATTTTTTTGTGAACACAGACGAAGAGGTAACGGGTTCGGCACGAATTTGTAATGTGTCGCTTCATCCAACCTATTTACCGATTACGATTCTCTTTCCCTGTTTCACCCTTCTGCACTCCATGTCTTTTCTCACGAGAGACTAAACCCAACACACCAACTCACCGACTGGACTTTCTAGAACAGCTGCGGCCGCTCTTCTCTTCTCCTCTCCTCTCATCTCCCTCCACTCGTTAACGTTGACCCATTGCTTTCAATTTCGTTGGCTTCTAAGGTGGTGGAATATTGAATAGGAATGGGCGAAAACCATGGCGGTGACGTTCTACTCGAGGATCATCACGACGAGATAAAAGGAATTGGAAACGAGCTTCGGCAGCCGGAGGACTATAGAGCATAAGGAGGAGGAAGGTCATTTGTCATTAGGCTGAAACGCAGAATTTTCCGGACTCTGAATATCTTGTAATGTTGATGCAAAATTCCCTGCAATCTCCATCTATGATGTGCATTGTTTGTCACTATTTCCACAAGGAAGATAAATAAATAACACCAATAGATCAATCAATATTCTTCGTAACAATACCATATTTATCGGTTAATTGCATGGTTGGTCACTGAGATTAGAAAAAACGTTTAAATTTGGTTACTTGAAATATTCAAATCCATTAGTGATACTTCAGTTTACTGAAACCGTTCACGTTTGGTCACTCTCTCTCCAACTCCGTTAATTTTGGCTGATGTGTCAGTCAATTCTCAAAGTTGACCGTTGACTTAGTGACGTGGCAATTAAGAAATAATAAATAAAATAAAATTTAATCTATTTTAATGTCCAACTCATTTTTATCATGAATTAAAAATATATTTTTATTTTATTTTTACCACCATTGTCACTTTCGCCTTCCCCGACGACAATGCTCCGCCGCTTTCCACTAACGAGGAGGATGGCAACTTTGCCGGCGACGATGGGCCTTTCTTCTTCTTGGAGTTTGCGGTTGTGGAAGTGGAGACGACGACGATGACGACGAGGAAGGGGGATTCCTCCGCCGATTCTGATTCCGACGGTGGTGGTGGCGACGGAGAAGAGGGAGAGTTCGATTTCACGATGTCGTCGGCTTCCAGCTGCAACGACCGTGCGGACCCCACCAGTCAACTGGCACTTTCCCTTCCGACTAGATGTTCTTAAAGGGAACGTTGGTGTCGATGATGGAATCTTCCGACGCCATGAACCCTAAATCTCAGAGGATTCCCGTCTCCCTGCTCAAATTCGCCACCAAATTCAGGGTTTTCTTGTTGGGATTTAAGAAATCCAACAATGAAAAAAGTCCCTAGTGTACAGAAAACTGTTGATTCCGTCGGAGATGGGGATACGGCAGCAGCGCCGGAGCAGAAAGAGGAAGAAGGAAAGGGGAATGAAAATGAGAAACTAGGGAAACTTTTCACAGTGAAGTTCAAAGTCGATGAGGTTCCCATTGTGTCTATATAAGTTATTTATTTATTTTATGGTAAAAATGTGTTGAACATTAAAATAGATTAAATTTTATTTTATTTATTAGTTCTTAATTGTCATTATTTATTAGTTCTTTGTCACGTCACTAAGCTAACGGTCAACTTTGAGAATTGACTGCGACATCAACCAAAGTTAACGGAATTGAACATAAAGTGACCAAATGTGAACTATTTCAGTAAAGTGAAATACCACCAATTAATTTTAATATTTCGAGTGACCAGGTTTTTTGTAATCTCAGTGAACATGTAACGAACCAGATAGTTATCAGTAACCAACTGAAACCAGAGGAAGCGGTCTGCAGCCAAGGATTCAAAAGGGCAAAGCCAACAGACTGGATCAAAATTCACGATCCTCATGACATAACTTTAACAATTTTTATATATCCTCAGCAAGGCAAAGAAACTGGAGGAAGCCAAATGATGTTCATCGAACAGCCTGCATCAATCAAAGCATACTGCCAACACAGCCAGGCCAAGTTGCCCACATGAAAATAACAACACCATTGTTCTCAGGCCACTTCATGGCACTACCGATCGCTCTCCATCGATCAATCCCCAAACCATCATATATCATTTATAGTTTAAGCATTACACATATAGTTCTACGTCCGCTTCTGGGTTCCCACAGCAGTCTAGTAAAACGAGTTTTGCTCCACTTCACCCCTCAACAAGGATATAAATTCTCGACGCAGTAGAAAAACTACGAACGACTCTGCCTCTGACGGAGGCTCCCTGATCTTATCCCTCCTGCCTCAGACCCGCTGCCGCCTTGCTGGTACGTGGGCCCCCAGCCTGAATCTCTATCAGGATGGTTGTTGTTAAAAGGAAGCAATGGCTCCCATGCCCGGAACCCAGTCCGGGAGGATGCATTCTCCGACTCTTGGTAGTTCCGCCCGGATGATGTTGTCCCTCCTGACGGGAAGAAGTAAAACCCAGCCTGGTCGGGCGCCGGTGGGATCAATCGTGACACTCCCCTGTGGCTGCTGCTGCTCGGTCTCCGTGCTGAGGCGGCAATAATGGGAGGAACATGAATCGTTGGGGAGCTCCCGGGCTGTTGCTGATAGTAGTCCTGAAGAGCTTGAACTCGATCACGTGCCCTTGCATTGCTGCCTTGGTAAGTTGGAGTGCCCGAGGGAGGGACTGAGCTTCCGGCTCTGGCACCAGAACTGCAAGTAACAATACGGATTGTCAAAGATTCAGTTAGCCAAAACAAAAAACCAGTTTTTGTGAAAGCCAAACCGAAAATTCAACCAAACTTGGTACACAAAACTCCGAGAAAGTACAAAATGAACAAAAAATATAAATAGGTATTCATACACTGAAGTTCCAAACTTGAAGACAACAAATCCAGCCAGATTAAAGAATCAAAACAGAAGTTCACTAATGAAACTCTAGCATCCTCAAATTATAATCAAAATCTTGTCAGAAGTTGAATAAATTGGACTGTATTTTTCAGTTAATAGTTTAGTCAATTCTAGTAAACACTTTGAATAACTAAGCAGAACCACAATTTTAACTTTGATTGAGCGGACAATGAACCGGTGAAATCACCTAAATCAACACTGGTACTTAAATAAAGACATACCCAGGATTTATGACGAAGGGATGCATGAAAGAACCAGCTCTCTGAGGACCGGCATTATTGCTTCTACCCACTGCTCTTTGAGCATTTGGGGGGATGGCACTCTGATCAACACCACCCATTCGACTGCTTGTTGTAGGAAATGGAGGAGACTGATGCTCCCAACTGTGATATTGGAGATCCACAGCAGCAGGGAAGCCATAGGAGCTCGTCATGTCATTAGGTACTGATGGAGCATTCCAGTGACTGTTAAAGTTAGAAGTATCTGAAATGGCAGCACTGGAGCTTGAGGAAGAAGGGTGGATTGGTCCAAAGTAAGCAATATAAGGGCAAGCGTGGCTGGCTGACGATATGGGAGCTGTGTGTTCAGATAAAACAGCATTCTGACTCACCAGATCGTGATCTAGAATATCAGAACATTACAATTCTAGAATATCAGAGTGAGGGAATATACAATACTGGAATATCAGAAATAACAGTACCAGAATGAGAATGAAAACTTACATGCATTCATTGAGAACTCCCCTTCCCTGCAAATCAGAAAAGCAAACGATTCAAGGCAGGGAAATTAAATGGACACATTCATGGTCAAGCTCTTGGGACTGTGGATAACAGTTTAATGACATATATGTAGCCATTCCCATAAATCAGCTCTGACAATTAGCAAGTGCAAGCCATTTTTCTCTTCTCATTTCCAAAACAATTCCTCCAACTTTCCGTTTATCATTCACACACCACAGTTGGCATTCATTTCAGCAGACCTCGTGCCGTTCTTGCACGGGGTAGGGCAAAGGGAAAACATGAAGACTAAAAGCTACAATGCAGTTCTGAACTGTAAAAGGATACTCACTCAAAGGATGAAGGCATTCTCGCCAAGCTCCCACCAAAAGGACAATAGTGAATTCCAAGAGACTGCAAAAGCAAAATATAAATGAGAAACTAGAAAGACTGATCATCTAGTTCCTCGAGTAAAAGACATCCAGCTCCGAGAAAAAATTAAGATAGCATTCGTGAGCAAGCTAACAAGAAGCTTAGCAAGTACCGAAGACAATGTTCACATACTCCGACTATGATGTTTCGACAGCATAAAACAATAAACCTTTTGTTATATCTTTCACGGGCTTCCTCA